TTCATGGTCTTTTTATTTAGGATAAGACATATTATGTAGACATCCATTTTCCAATATTTTCTTTTTTCCATTTTCTTCCCCATCCCACCCCGCCACAATAACACAAAAGCCAGATAGTTCAAGAACAAAGGTTCACAGATGTGCATCACAACATAGGTGCTCAAGCAAAATAAACAACAAATAAACAAATAGATACTGAAGTAAAAATGAAATTAAACCACATTTAAATTGTCATCTGCGTTTACATTCTCCAAATAAGTCAAAAAAGGCTGCCAGACATCACAGACTTTTTGTATTGATCCCTTTGTGGAATAGCGGATGTTCTCTAGTTGGATGTAGTAGTGACCTCTTTGACCCAGCCTCCATACGTGGGTGGCAGTGCTTCTTTCCACTTTTGCAAGATCATTCGTCTAGCTAGGAGGGTACAGAAAGCTAACATGTTAGCCTTTGGTTTATCTACATTACAGGCAAATTAGCAAAATTCGAACATTAACACTGATATGCAAATTTTGGGGCGATTCACTGCGCTTTATGTTCTTAAATCACGCCAACACTCGAACCCCTTCCTAAACTAGCGAGGCTTCATACGTCATCAGTGACATCACGCACCTCCTAACGAAGCCTCGATACGCGCTTCATAACGGACTTCTTGGATTTCTTGACACAAGCCTCGGCACAGTACGTCCCACCCTAAGCTGCAGCAACGGCCTCCCTCACACACTCAACCCATCTCTGGGACTCCTTCCACACCACGCTGCTCCTCTGAGGACCTGGTGGAGAAGAGGAATGCAGGGACAATGCCAGAGCCTCCAACCTTGTTTGAACAGACTGGGATAACCAAATGGTGTCAACAACCCGTCTGCTTGACCTGGCAGATAAGTGGTACGCTGTTTATGCTAGTTATGGCTGTTATTTCAGGTGGTTAAACTTTAAACTAACCTAGTTTAGGGTTAGGGTGTAGGGTTAGGATAATTCGTCCCACCAAGGACAAAGACCCAACCCGGAAGGAGTCCGGATATGGGTTAGGGTTAGGGTAAGGAAAAAGATGTTTAATTTGCCACAGTTGTGGGTCTAGTGTATGGGCAACAGAGGTCTGAGCAATGTCGTCCTCATTTGAGACTCAGTCCTCTGATGAGGATCTTATCCAGTCCGTGGATGAGGCTACAAACCACACTGCGGTGATGATGATGTCTACTGATGGATCCACGAGGACCCCTACAGTCTGAATATGCCTGACTACACCTGCCACAGGACAAGGAGACGAGGGCTTGAGCAGAAATCATATCCCAACACAATATAATAAATAAACAACCAATCAATAAATAATGACTGAGAGCATAAATCAAACACAGCAAAATTATGTACAACAAAAGCAAGCTGTTAAATACACCAGGAAAACTCATATTAAAGTCGCAAAGCAACAATAATTAAATAGAAATTCATAATAAACATATCAAAGAAGAAACAATCCATGTAAAGGAATTCATAAATCTCCCACACGTGCAGTTATGGAGGAAAAATTAAACATAGGTGCTGTTGTCGTCCTGTGGCAGCAGCAGCCAGATTTCTGGGTCCCTGGAAAGAAACTCATGTTTATTGTGATGCGTGAGAAAATGAAGGATGGGAAACTTGGGTGTGCAGCCCCAAACCAGGACCCCTAAGGAGAACCAAGGATCTGGTACTCCCAGCAGACAAAGCGGGCAGGAATTCATGAGTTCTAATCTCTGTTGTTTTTGGATTTACATTTATGATTATTTTACACAACATTTAGTCCTGTGTGCAGCTGAGTTTGAATTTTCTCCTCCACATCCTCTCCTGCCTCTTCTGCTGGCCCCCCGTCCAGGTTGGACTGGTCTGGAGGCCTGTCATGATTGAATATTGCAAAGACCGATTTTGGAAGTGAGTGACCAGAGGAGTACCCATCTGTCCACCCCTATGGAGTACAGGTGTTGTTGGAGCCTGCTGGTGAGTGTATGAACTCTTTCTCTGATGTAGACGAGACCACAGCACTGACAGATGATACCATGTTCAGATCTTTTAGTCTGTAAATAAACGTGTTAATAAGCTGGAGCCTCTATGCCACCGTATGGATTTAAATAAATGCTTGATTAATCTGAAGGTCTGGTTTTGGACGGCGCCAAAGACCTTTCCCTGCCTGCCGAGGAACGTTCACACCAGTGCATTTTTCACATTTTAGTTTTTCTTCACGCTGACAGACCTCTGTCCTTCATGAGAGGATGATCAGAGATTTGGAATAAGTGGTGATGAACGAGCTGGATGTCAGTTGTATTTAATTTCTATTCACGGGTGACGGCTGTTGAGAATGTCCACAAAGTGTTTAAACTGTTCTTCCCCATGGTCCAGTGATGTCATCTTGAAAACCTGAAATAGAAAGTTGGTTGCAGTGGACACTTCTGGAGCGCCTCCCATTCGCTCATGCACAGACTGACCTGAGAGGGAGCGTGCCGGTGTCCCGGGCCGTGCCCTGTACCTGTAAGTGAAACCTGAGCTGTGGTGGGTATGAATAAAGTGGACAAGTTCAGAATGTTGGAATTAACTGTAGGATGTGGCACCAGTGTCTGAACATATATATTGTGCTGTGTTGTGAGTCCAGTGGATGTTGTCCGGGTGGAGAAGTGACTAGCCGGCAGCAGTGCCAGGGAGGGGGGACGGCTGGAAATAAAAGTGGTAGTGACCCTGAGGTTTGACTACTGCTCGGTGAGAAGTTAATGAGTGGGAAGTGGATGGCAGCGTTGGGGAAGACAGACTGGGCCCTCCTGTACACCATTCTTAATTGTTTTATTGATGTTTTATGTTTGTCCTGATCTTTGTTGTTCAACCCCACCAACAGCACCACCACCTGGACACGTGGATGAACCGGGGTTTTCTACAGGATCCTCCAGAGGTGGTAGAAGAAGGCACCTGGGTAACTGTCAGTTTGAATGTTTTCATTGTGATAAGATATGGTTTAGATTTAAGTCGCCCAAAAACCATATCTCCTTTTTGCCCACAAAGTCCCAGTCTGTTGATTTTCTGCCTGGTCTGGCTTTGTGGTAGGTGGGGGAGAAAGCTGTTACCGCCTGCTGGTTTTGGCCCTGCACTCCATCCCCACCAGTCACCAGGAAGCCTGGTCTGTGTACAGAGGAGGGGGAAGAAGACACTGGGGAGGCCAAGGCCCCAAATTCACTGCACATAGTTTTTGTGGTGGCGTCAGAGGAGATTGTGTTGACCTCATTCTCATCATTTGGTTCCCCACCACGTCTTTTTGTCCAGTTAAAAACGGTTTTGTCTGAGGGTCAAGCTTAAGGTCTGGACTCCGCCCCGGTGTCCTACACGCCCTGCAGAGATGGAGAGAGAGTCAGCAGCTGTACCCTCAGGTCTGACTCCATTTCTAGGTGTTAACTGAAACTGTTGGTAAGACCGGTTTTTTGTAAAGGCTATAGATGTCTCCCTCACTTGTATTTATTCTGTGTCTCCGGGACAGCCTGTATGGGCCCGGCTTAACAAAGTCCTCCTCTGAAGAGGAAAAAGTCGGACTCTGCTCCCTGGTTCGGGTCCGCCGGTACTGGCCCTGTCTGAGTGGAGGTGGAGAAGGAGAATAAAGAGGAGGTAACGACGAGGGATGAGGAGGAGGGAGAGGAGACTCACTATGAACTGGAGGGAGGAGGTGGACCTGGGGACAGAAGGAGCATTAATTTGTACCACATATTTGCTCTGGCCACAGATCAGGGCAGCAAGCTGGGCCTCTCCAAGAACAAGAGCATTATCTGCTACTACAACACCAATAACAGGATAATAGATGGAGAGCAGCGATAGAACAGAACAATAAATCTGAATAGAAGTATTCTTTGGCGGCTTGAGTTCAGAGACGTGAAACTCCAGATCCAGAGACGTCTGCAGAGAGAACAAGCAGGTGATCCTGAACAGCTCTAACTATCAGCTTTATCACAGAGGAACGTTTTAAACCTAAAGCAAAGAGGGTGTCCGCCTCCAGAACCCAAACTGGGAGCTGATTCCATAAGACAGGAGCCTGATAACTGAAGGCTCTGCCTCCCATTCTGGTTCTGGAGACTCTGGACCCACCAGTAGACCTGCAGTCTGACAGCGAAGGGTTCTGTTAGGATGATACGGTACCATGAGGTCTGTAAGGTCACATGGAGCTGCTCATGGAGAGTTTATATGTTAGAAGCAGGATTTAGATTCTATCCTGGATTTTACAGGGAGCCACTGAAGAGAAGCTGATACAGGAGACGCATGATCTGGTTCTGGTTCTGTCAGAACCCTGCTGCAGCATGTTGGATCAGATGGAGGGTTCTGAGAGAGTTACTGGGACATCCTGATAATAAGGAACTACAATAGTCCAGTCTAGAAGTTCTAAATGATGGATTGGTTTCTCAGCATCACTCTGAGACAGGATGCTCTGATGTTTACAGTATTACGTAGATGACAGAAGATCGCCCTACAGACTGGTTCTATATGGCTGTTGAAGGACATGTCCTGGTCAAAAATAACTCCAAGGTTCTGTACAGTAGAACTGGAGGCCAAGGCGATGCCATCTAGAGCAGCTGTCTGGTTCCAGAGTGTTTCTGAGGTGTTGAGGGCCAAATACAAGAACCTCAGTTTGTCTGCATTTAAATGAAGGAAATTCCAGATCATCCAGCAGTGTTTCCTCTACATTCATTTAGGAGTGGCGGGCTGCCATTTCTAAATCCTAGCCACTACTCCCTCCATGTTTGTTTTTATTTATTTATTTGTTTATTTTTTTGTTCACTGCCTCATGTCTCCACCTTCACAGCAGAGTCCTGCACTGGGTCCGGTACTCGTGAGTACTAAGGTAAACGACAGATTACTATCTTGCTCAGTATCTACTCTTTGGGGGCTTAATGATTGGCGAGCACTAAGGCAAACGTTAAAAGTAACATCTGCAGTCAGATGTCATGTGTTTACGCCGCCACGGCTCCCGGACAGCCTGCTGCCCCCTGCTGGAAACAATCCCAGAGGAAACACTGATCCAGGCCTGTATGTCCTTCAAACATCTTGGAGTCTGTCCAGCTGATTGGTTTCATTTGGCTTTATATATAAATATAACTGGGTGTCGTCTGCATAACAGTGTAAATGTCTGCAGTGCTCCCTGATAATACTGCCTAAAGGGAGCATGTACAAGGTCCTAACACAGAGCCCTGTGGAACTCCATAACTACCTCTACTGCAGGTGGAAGAACCATCATTAACATGAACAAACTGGAATCTGTCTGATAAATATGATGTAAACCAGTTCAGTGCAGTTCCTCTAAGCCCAGTAAACATTCCAGTCTCTGTAATCAGATGCTGTGATCCACTGGATCAGCTACAGCTCTGAGATCCAGCAGAACCAGTACACAAACTGGTCCACTGTCTGAGGCTAGAAGAAGATCATCAGTGACCATCACCAGCGTGTCTCTGTTCTATGATGGATTCTCAATCCTGACTGAAGCTCTTCAGACAAACATTTCTATACAGATAATCACATAACTGCCGGCAACAGCTTCTTCCAGAACTTTACCAATCAAAGGGAGGTTGGATCTGGGCCTATAGCTAGAACACCTGGATCTAGAGCAGGCTTTGTGAGCAGTGGTTT